GGTTCTTCAAAATATCTTCATGGAACATGATATTTACTTAATATCCTAATGATTTTTGGCATAAAAGAAAAATCGATAGTTTTGGCCCATACAATGTATTGTTGGCTATTGCTACAAATATACCCCAGCGACTTAAGACTGCTTTTGTGCTCCAGGGTCACATATATTCAATTTGCATCTCAAGTAAATGTACTGTGATTAAAAATGTTTAGATATTTGTATTGGGAAACAAAACAAGCATACTGTGGAAGATAGTCATTTTGCACTGCATGCAACATTTAATGTCATGACTTTATGAAATTAAGGTTTTCTGCTTTGATTTAAGACCTTTTTAGCCCTCCATTTATGAAAAGGTGAATCAAGACTTTTTAATTTCCCTTACACTGGAAGGTTTTCCTGCGTAGTTTCACTTTTTTACTGTTAGTGTGAACAGAAAAACTACTTGACGAATGCAATGCAATGGCAATACATTCCTGTTTGTTTTCACACATTCATCCTGGTAATCAAACGCCTGTCACCGATGCCCTCCATGGACATTAAGCTAAAAATAACTCGATTTGATCTTTTCCAGTGACTTCTTTTTCCCGTGTTGGATCAGATGTGTCATGGAGCTGCTGGATTTCCTCCTGGAGCTGCAGGTTTTGTGAGGACAGATGAACCGCGTCCTGAATGGCGTCTAACAGCAGATTCCTGTACCTTCTCTCAGACATCTGCCTCTGTTCCTCCAGAACCTCACGAAATGCCCTGAACACCTACAAACACAACCAGCACAAAAACCACTAGATGACAGTATAATGATATATTAAAGGAAATGCAGCTCCTGTACATAACTACATATAACTATATTTTTCATCAGGGGTTCTCAGCTCTGGCCCTTGAGGTCCACTTTCCTGTCGAGTTTAGCTCGAACTCGAATCAAACACACCTGAACAAGCTAATCGAGGTCTTTAGGATTACTAGAAAGTTACAGGCAGGTGAGTTTGATCAAGGTTGGAGCAGGAAAGTGGATCTCGAGGGCCCGAGTTCAGAACCCCTGTTCTTTATATTACAATGAAGGTTTATATGAGGAACATTATGATTTCGTATTAATATGATGCATGAGGAACAGATTGAAACTGATGTCGGTTTTCAATTAGGAATGTTTACGTAATTGTCGTCAATCTGAATGAATCCAATCTGGTTTCAGATTATGAAAGTTTGTGAGCCCTAAACTTATTTGCAATCCTTTTCACGTCTTCGCATAAATATGTCGTCACGTTCAGAACTGGAAAAAGACACCGCTATAATGATTAGTTTAGTTTATTTATATAGCACATTTAACAGCCCACCAAAGTGCCTCACAGGCAGGTAAATTGTAAATTTCTTAAATATTCAGTCAAATTTTTATTAAATACATTTGTAGTTCTATAAAAATATTTAATACATTGTCTAAATGTTGAAAATTAAGAATAAAAAGCAGGGATTTTTTTTATTTAGATTATATATATATATATATATATATATATATTAGTGCTGTCAAACGATTAATCGCATCCAAAATAAAAGTTTTTGTTTACATAATATATGTGTGTGTACTGTGTATATTTATTATGTATATATCTGTAAATTGGATGCGATTAATCATGATTAATCGTTTGACAACACTAATATATATATATAATATTTTGTTAATATATCTGATAATTCTGTACACTTTGATATGCCTGTTTTTGTTTAGATGACTTTTTAATTCTCTTGAGTCCATATTTTTTCTGTTCTTGTATTTATTTTTATTTATATAGTTTTTTTATTATATTTAATTTAATTTAGTTTTCCTTTTTTCTTCTCGCTTTCTAATTTAATGTTGTGTCCAAAACAAAGTCCTTGTTATAAAATAAAGGCTCTTTGTCAGCATCGATGGAAGAACCAACCATGGAATATTTCTATTGATCAAAAGGATCTTTATAGCTGAAAAAAGTTCTTTAGATTCATAAAATGTTCTTCACATTAAGAATAAGAATGGTTCTATTAAGAACTGTTCTCTGAAAGCTTCTTTGAGGAACCAAAGATGGTTTTCTATGGCATCTCTCCTATGGAACCTTTATTTTTATAGCTGACTAATTTGAATATCTTCTTGTAATATTTTTGCTTCTCCTAATTTCTCCTAAAAAAACATCCTAAATGCTGACTCGGTGTTGTTCCTCAGTAGATGTTCACCTGCAGACTCTCTTCTCTGAGGGTGTTGATCTCCTGCTGGTGTTGTCTGCTCTGGGTCTCCAGGTCTGCATACGCCTGATGGTTCTCCCTGCGCAGCGCCTCGATCTGAAGAACCAGGATGTGTCTCTCTCTGCGCAGGTACGACATCTCGCCCTCCACACCACCCATCTGCAGATGGGACAGAGTCAGTCACATGATCAGAACAGCCTGTTTGAACTCTACTTATTTAACTCAACCAGAACTCACCTGAACACCACAATAATAACTGTTACAGGTCTAAAACACTGACAACAATTTATAAACTACATTTTATAAACGGATTGACCAATCAGAAGCCAGGACTGGAAATATCTGTTTTATTAAAAGGGTCATGAACTGAGAAATCAACATTCCCTTGATTTTTTGACATATACTGTAAGAGCTCATTGTGCTATAAAAACATTCTGTACGTTTCAGAACTCAAAACTTTCTCGTTAGTCTAAAAACAGCTAATATTGAAGCCAGTCTGCCAAAACAACAGCTTGTGGAATCAATGTTCCACTCTATGATGCAATAGTGTGGATAAACACCGCCTCCGCAGAAGATCAACGCCTGCTTCTACATCACTGCCTGTTTAGCCCCACCCACCAATTCTACGTCACTGTTTGTTTAGCCCCGCCCACCGATTCTATATCACTGCCTGTTTAGCCCCACCCACCAATTCTACGTCACTGTTTGTTTAGCCCCGCCCACCGATTCTATATCACTGCCTGTTTAGCCCCACCCACCAATTCTACGTCACTGTTTGTTTAGCCCCGCCCACCGATTCTATATCACTGCCTGTTTAGCCCCACCCACCAATTCTACGTCACTGTTTGTTTAGCCCCGCCCACCGATTCTATATCACTGCCTGTTTAGCCCCACCCACCAATTCTACGTCACTGTTTGTTTAGCCCCGCCCACCGATTCTATATCACTGCCTGTTTAGCCCCACCCACCAATTCTACGTCACTGTTTGTTTAGCCCCGCCCACCGATTCTATATCACTGCCTGTTTAGCCCCACCCACCAATTCTACGTCACTGTTTGTTTAGCCCCGCCCACCGATTCTATATCACTGCCTGTTTAGCCCCGCCCACCGATTCTACATCGCCGCTTGTTTAGCCCCGCCCACCAATTCCACATAGCTGCTTGTTTAGCCCCGCCCACCGATTCTATATCACTGCCTGTTTAGCCCCGCCCACCGATTCACACATGTAGTGAATGACATGAATGGCAAATGACAAGAGCGGCAAACGCATGTCTACACTGAAACCAAACGATAAACTTTATTTGATGAACTTAATTTTTAATGAAGATCCAGACAGTGTCAGTAAGAACTTAGTTTTTTTGTTCACTTCATTTTACCGTGGATTCGTTTACAAACAAGGCACGAGATTTTCAGAAAGATTAAAACTAAAAGAGATGCTGTGTCGACTATATTGGATCAGACAGTAATGTCGCAACACAAGTGTGAGTAACTGCTTTTATTACGTTATCATTATTGCTTTGTCTCTTCTTACAGATCATTTGAAATGTACTGAGTATTTATGAGTTTTTAACATAAATCACAGCAGAGTCCATCTGTGTAGGATGATGTAGGCTGTCAAATATACACAACTATTAGCCAATCATAGACGTCGTTTACTTCTGAGTGTAGGCCACGCCTATTCAAACAGAGTGTTATGATGAGGGGGGTTAAAAACCCTAAATTACCCTAAAAAAGCCTATTACTTCTAAATTATGATGGTTTTTTAATGTAAATTATAAGTGGACCTCAGAGAATAGTACAAAATAAAAAAAACAAAGGCAGTTCATGACCCCTTTAAAAACACAATAAGCTTAAGGCACACATATCTATATCTGTTGATTTCTGTTATTTCTCATGTGTCTGCCGCTCTCACCTGCTCCTCCTGTAATTCTCTCTCCATCTTCATCAGTTCGTTCTCGATCAGTCTCTCGTGAGTCTCTCTCAGTCTCCTTCTGCGCTCCAGGAGTTTCTCATGATCCGCCTGAGAGACAAACACATCTTATTGCTTATTTATGAGGTCAATAATATATTGCGTGCCCATTGATACAGTTCCCAACAGGTGCATGAATTTTATAACAACTGCTTTTCCAACATTGGAAAAGTTGCCAGCTGATCCACTCACAGCAGTCTGTACAAAAAGTAGTCTTCTGGATAAAAATAATGTGAATAAATGTCAATAAAATTGTAAATATATTTTAAATGGTTTCAGGAGAACACCAAGACCACTTATAAGGGCGTGTCTATCCGCACTGAATGTATCTGATTGATCGAATAGTGCACTGTCTCAGCGCTCACTTTAGGAACGTATAGCATCACTGCGACATACATACTTATAAGTATAATATTATAATTTGTGTAATTTTCATACTACATTATGAAATGAATACCTTGTTCAATGCATGGATCGTAGAGCGCAAACTGTTTTAGGAAGACCCTTAGTGTTGAGTTGCTCTTACCATCTGATGTTTCTTTCCGATGTTTCAAATGAATTTATTTACGATTGCCTTTACATTAATGTGCAAAAATGTGATTTATGTCATTTAGAGAATGTGTTCCTTTTGAATTGTCGCATAAAAATGTTCTATGTGTTTTTCTAATAGGATTAAAGTGAAAGTTTGAGATTGCCATACAGTGAATACCAGCACTGGGCTGTTTATGTTGGTGAAGGTCATGTGATTCACCTGGCACCACCCTGTGAGTATTTTACATATCTATTGAGTTTAACTTGCACTGAATCTGAACCATTCCATTTAAGTCTCATGGTTGCTCTTTCTTTCTATTTCTTTCTCTACAGCTGAACATGCACTTGCTGGAGCCAACAGTAAGATGTCAGAGCCACAGTGAAGAAAGGTAAACTTTATGTAGTAGTCGGCAATAATGATTATCGTATCAACAACATTCTGGATGAGAAATATGAGCCACGTCCCATTCAAGAGATTGTACAGGATGCACACGGTCTTTTGGGAAAAGAACTTCCATATAGTGTGCTTACAAGGCACTGTGAGCACTTTGTTACAGAGCTGAGATACGGAAAACCACAGTCCTGTCAGGTGCAGTTGAGATAATTCAATATGCCAGTATGCCAACAAGTACTGTAACTGAATTATCATACTCATAAATGTTTCAAAAATGCAAATCGCTGGATTACAGGGAATTTCGAGGGGAGATGGCGTTCCACTTTCAGATAGTTAGATTTTTTTTTTAAATGAAAGGGATTTCTATAACAATGCCAATTAGAGAGCTCTCTAATTCAGTTCTTACTAGTAAAAATGCAATTACAGAGCTCTCAATTAAATTCTTACTAGTAAGAAATCCAGTTACACAGATCTACAATTCTATTCTTGCTAATAAGAACTTGTTTTATTTTTACAAAATAAAAGCCCCATAAGCATGAATTCATAGCATTCTCATTGTGTCAGAATGACCAGAAGAGTGAGATGACAGCTTGGAAAGGTTTTGTTTTTGAAAAATAGTATTTAATCACTACATCGTCCAGGTGGATGCTGCACACCGGTGGATGAGGAGATTCCCCCTCACAATGTAAAGCGCTTTGAGTGCGTAGAAAACCGCTATATAAATGTAATGTTATTATTGTGTGTTTTTATTTTTTATTATTTATTGTTTGTTATTATTGTATTATTATTTATTTATTTATTTCAGACCCTTAGGTCCATATCACAAAAATAAAAATCAAGAGTATAGTCTTTAAAATTCTTTAAAAAAAAAATAACAAGAAGAAGATGTCTTGGTCAACATGTCTGTTAATGATTTTATCAGAGTTTACCAGACAAAATATCATCTCATTTTGGTGTTAATTATACACTGTAACATGCATGCAGAATTTGAGTTACATATTAATAGGCTAGTCGTCACTCTCGACAAAATTTATTTTTAAATTTTTCTCTCTCTCTCTCTCTCTCTCTCTCTCACCTTCCCAATTATTTATGTTTAAGTATTAAGTAAAAACTGTGTTGTTTTATACATATTTTTAATAGATCCCAAAATATCCTTGATTTAATAAAAGAAATGTAAATGCTAAGTCTCTCTCTCTCTTTACATGTGTAAAACCGCAATAGGTATGATATTACTTTTTATTTATTACTTGACTATATCAGATGTTATAAATATAAAAAACAAATACTCATACAGGGATATTTTTGCCCTCATAACTTGAATTATAGCGGCATTCTAACCGCATTTTAATAGGCTTCATCATGCAGTAAATCCTCAAAAAGATCAGGGGCTGTTGAGTTATATTACATTTACATTTAGTCATTTAGCAGATGCTTTTATCCAAAGCAACTTAAATGAGGACAATAGAAGCAACAAAAGAGCAATAACATGCAAGTGCCATGACAAGTCTCGGTTAGCCTAACTCAATACACGTAGCAAGGTTTAAATATACTCACAAAAAGTTAGGGATATTCGACTTTTAGGTGAAATTTATGGAAAAAGTTCATGAAACAGTGATATTATATCATGAAAGTATGGCATTTAAGTAGAAGCATGCATGCAATGGTAATTTCTTCATCTCAAACTATTTATTGAAACAAAAGCCAACAACAGTGGTGGGTATACCACAACAAAAAATGTCAATGTCTCAATAACTTGTCATGTGTCCTTAACCATCAATTACAGCTTGACAACAATGTCTCATGCTGTTCACAAGTCGACTTATAGTCTGCTGAGGCTTGGCATTCCACTCTTCATTGAGGTTCTGGGGTGCAGGTTTACGACCCTCTACACGACAAGATGAGATGAGAAACAAAATAGTAGACATGTATCAGTCTGGAAAGGGTTATGAAGCCATTTCTAAGGCTTTGGGACTCAAGCGAACCACGGTCAGAGCCATTATCCACAAATGGAGAAAACTTGGAACAGTGGTGAACCTTCCCAGGAGTGGCCGGCCTACCAAAATTACTCCAAGAGCGCAACAACGACTCATCCAAGAGGTCATAAAAGAACCCAGAACAACATCTAAAGAACTGCAGGCCTCACTTGCCTCAATTAAGGTCAGTGTTCATGATTCAACAAGAAGAAAGAGACTGGGCAAAAATGGCATCCATGGGAGAGTTCCAAGGCAAAAGCCATTGCTGACCAAAAAGAACACAAAGGCTCGTCTCACATTTGCCAAAAATATCTTGATTATCCCCAAGACTTTTGGGCAAATATTCTGTGGACTGATGAGACAAAAGTTGAACTTTTTGGAAGGTGTGTGTCCCGTTACATCTGGCGTAAAACCAACACAGCATTTCATAAAAAGAACATCATACCAACAGTCAAACATGGTGGTGGTAGTGTGATGGTCTGGGGCTGCTTTGCAGCTTCAGGACCTGGACGACTTGCCATAATTGACGGAACCATGAATTCTGCACTCTATCAGAAAATCCTGAAGGAGAATGTCCGGCCATCAGTTTGTGACCTCAAGCTCAAGCGTGCCATAATTGACGGAACCATGAATTCTGCACTCTATCAGAAAATCCTGAAGGAGAATGTCCGGCCGTCAGTTTGTGACCTGAAGCTCAAGCGCACTTGGGTTCTGCAGCAGGACAATGATCCCAAACACACCAGCAAGCGCACCTCTGAATGGCTCAGGAAAAACTAAATTAAGGTTTTGGAGTGGCCAAGTCAAAGTTGATTGAGATGCTGTGGCATGACCTTAAACAGTCCATTCATGCTCGAAAACCCTCCTATGTGGCTAAATTAAAACAATTCTTCAAAGAAGAGTGGGCCAAAATTCCTCCACAGCGATGTGAAAGACTCATTACCAGTTATCGCAAACACTTGATTGCAGTTGTTGCTGCAAAGCGTGGCACAACCAGTTATTAGATTTAGGGGGCAATTACTTTTTCACGTAGGGCCAGGCAGGTTTGGACAGCTTTTTTCCCTTAATAAAATAAAAATTATCGCAAATGCTTGATTGCAGTTGTTGCTGCAAAGGGTGGCACAACCAGTTATTAGATTTAGGGGGCAATTACTTTTTCACGTAGTGCCAGGCAGGTTTGGACAGCTTTTTTCCCTTAATAAATGAAATCATTATTTCAAAACTGCATTTTGTATTTACTCAGGTTATCTTTGTGTAATATTAAAATTTGTTTGATCTGAATCTTTTAAGTGTGACAAATATGCAAAAAATAAAAAACAGGAAGGGGCAAAAACCTTTTCATGGCACTGTATATATAATAAAAAAAACAAGCTAGTGTTAGAGGCCTTTTTTTAAAGAAAACAAGCAGTTTGAAAATGAATATAGAGATCAAGTGTTAGAGGGTCAAATATAGCTGTAAGAGATGTGTTTTTAGTCGTTTCTTGAAGATGGCTAAGGACTCAGCTGTTCGGATTGAGTTGGGCAGGTCATTCTACAAGGAAGGAACATTTAATATAAAAGTCAGTGAAAGTGATTTTGGGCCTCTTTGAGATGGCACAATAATGTGTCGTTCACTTGCAGAACGCAAGCTTCTAGAGGGCACATAACTCTGAAGTAATGAATTTAGGTAAAGGAGTGCAGAGCCAGTGGTGGTTTTGTAGGCAAACATTAATGCCTTGAATTTTATAGCTACAGCTACTGGTAGCCAGTGCAAATTGATGAACACAATTTGAGGTTTGACGTGCGTTTTTTGTTTTCTTTTTTTCGGCTCATTAAAAATTAATCTTGCTGCCGCATTCTGGATTAGTCGTAGAGGTTTGATAGAAGTGGCTGGAAGACCTGCCAAGAGAGCACTGCAATAGTCCAGCCTGGACAGAACAAGAGCTGAGAGATGAGGAAGAACTCAGATGAGTAACTGTTATCAGGTGTCAGCAGTGGATTGAGTTTCTCAGTAAAGTCTCCTGATTGGTCACTCACCGTGCTGGTGGCGTGTGATTGGCCGGAATCTCTGTGTGTCTCCTGTAATCTGATCTCCTCTTTCAGCTGTGTGATGCGGTTCACTCTCTCCTGATTCCTTTGGACACTGGCCCTGCCCTCTGACATCATCATCATCATCATCATCATCATCCACATCATCATCTCACAGACTGATGTGAGTCTCCTCATGCCTACCAGTAAGATGCATGTCCATTTCCTGTCTGAGGAGGTCCTGCAGGTCCCTCTTCCTGTCTGCTGTCTCACACTCTTCCTCAGCTCTTCCTCCATCAACCACCTACAACACAATCACACACACACATGCTAGAAATCAGCATTAAACTCATATTTCACACAAAACTCGAGCAGAAATGCATGAGATTGATAAGATTACTCACAGACGAGTCCATGTTTGTGTCGAGCGGCTCTGAACTGAATATCTGTGTGTGTGTGTGTGTGTGTGTGTGTGTGTGTGCTTGTGTTTCACGCTCTTCAAATATTCATTATTAGTGTTCACTTTCACCTGTGTGTGTTTAAATGTGTTGCATTCAGGGTTCCTATAACTATATTGTATATACACTATATGGACAAAAGTATTGGGACACTCCCTTAAAGAACAGGTTTGACTACACTGTAAAAAAAAATCCGTAAAATATACGGTAAAAAACAGCAGCTGTGGTTGCCAGAATTTTACCATAAAAAATACGGTAGCAACGTTTTAGGTTTTACGGTTTTAACTTAAATTTACAGTTAAATACCGTAATTTCATTAATTGCTATAGTGTTAATATACCAACCTATTGAAGTACTGAAATCTGTTTTGTACCTTTGTAATACACTGATAACCACCAAATGCAGGTGGTGATGAGAAAGTCACATGATGAACCAAAGCCCATCACAAGCAGCTTTTAAATAATAACATATATAGAAGGTGCACAGTGTCATTCACACAAACACTAAACACCATCATGGTAACACACATGAAACTGAAATAATGCAATAAACATTAATTTAACAACATTAGATGTAACACACAACCCTAATATACAAAACTGATAAGAAAAAACTAAGAAGAAACAAAATTATTTCAATTAAAAAAACATCAAATTTGAAATGTAACGCAGGGAATTCTGGGAATGTCAATTTACGGTTATTCACTGTAAATTATACGGTCTTTTTCACTTACAAAAACGGTATACTACCATAAAATTAATGTCCAATACATGTAATGTCCAATACAGTTTTTCACTGTATATAGTAGGGGAATTTACCGTTAACCATTTAACAGGTTTTTACTGTAGAATTTTTACAGTCTTTTACCGTTAAATTCACAGTCATTTTTTACAGTGTACTTTAGTAATTTCCATGAGTACAAATCTTAATGTTTAAGTATATAATGATATTATAGGGAATAGTGTGCTTCTAATTTTATAGCAACAGTTTGGACAGGACCAATACTTTTGGCAATATAGTGTAATTTTTACATTTTTATTATATTATCATTTTTATATTTTCATTTTCATTTCAGTTAAAGTTTTGGTAATTGTATTGTGAATTTTTGTCATTCTGAGCTGTTTTTATTATTATTTATTTTATTTTTTATAAATATGTCTATATAGATTTTATTGTGTGTGTGCGTGCATATCTGTGTGTGTATGAAAATTTTAAAAATAAAAATAAATTAAGCTAAGTAGGAATATTTGTGTAGAAATATTATTTGTTATTATTAAAATATTCGTTTTTCATAGTTTTTTTTTTCAGTTTTATATATTTCTATAGTTTATATATTTATAGCCTGTAGTAATTTTTATGTATATTTAGTCATTCCAATTTATTTTTGTTGTTTTAAATATTTTTCAAATATGTAGTTACATTTATCTAAAAATGTCTATTTAACTGAAATAAAAACAATACAAATCTACAAATGTAAACATTTTTATTTTAAATAAATGTTAAAATTAGAAAAAAAAATGAATGACAAAAATACACAACAAAATTACTAAAACTTTAACTCAAATGAAAATGAAAATGAAAAGTAATTAAATATGTGTGATTTAAAAAAAAAAAAAAGTTAAAAGGAATAGAAAAATAATAAAAACTGTTTCAAAGTATAAAATAAAAACTATAGTATTGTCTCAATGATGGTAAAATATCACTGCTTGCGTCTCATAATCATCCGCTCCGTCCTATAAATAAACCCTGTGGTCAGTTTATTCTGAGCGTCTTCCTGTGCGAATTCATGACCGCATGCAACACTTTCATATTCAAATGCCTGATTTTCAGTAAGTCACAATGTTTTTAGTCAAGTTACCTTGAAATAAATAAGGATGTGATACTGAACATATATCTGTTTTGAAAAAGAGTTTTGGAAGATTGAGAAAAAATGATAGGCAGATTACGATATATGAATATTTATTAGAATATACACGTCTGAATGCAGAACTCTTTTGTAGGGAACTATAGACATGATTAATTCAGTGAAAATGATCTGAAAGAAGAAGTGCATGAGTCAGACGGCACATAAGCTATATTTCTCAGAACTCTTAATATTTACATCTGTATATGCAGCGGATCTGCTCTATTGCAATTTATTATGCTGATCAAAACTGTTTCCTAATGATGCATCTGATGTTTTCAGTCATGTTCAGTGCAATCTGAATAGCACTTGTATACATTTTTCCTGTTATTTTCAATGATTGCCTTATTTTTTAGTATTTTAAGTATAGTCTTATAGTATATACCAAAATAACACTGTAAGCTGCATAACATTTCAGTGCAGATTTGCTCTTCATTTATTCTTCATCTCACACACACACACACACACACACACACACACACACAAAAACCGTACAAGAACTTGTCCAGCTCACATTTAACCCAAAATTAAAAAAAAAAAATATTTTGCATATAGAAAATGACCTTTCTTTCTTTTCTTTTTAAGACCAACACTTTTATTCAGCAAGGTCACATTAATTTACATCTGTATATGCAGCGGATCTGCTCTATTGCAATTTATTATGCTGATCAAAACTGTTTCCTAATGATGCATCTGATGTTTTCAGTCATGTTCAGTGCAATCTGAATAGCACTTGTATACATTTTTCCTGTTATTTTCAATGATTGCCTTATTTTTTAGTATTTTAAGTATAGTCTTATAGTATATACCAAAATAACACTGTAAGCTGCATAACATTTCAGTGCAGATTTGCTCTTCATTTATTCTTCATCTCACACACACACACACACACACACACACACACACACAAAAACCGTAATAACTTTGATAAAAAAAAAATTAAATTGAAAGCTGAAATAATAAAAAAACAAAAACAAATGGAAAAACATATCTAAAATTTAAATGATGATTAGAAATGTTGCATTGGTAGCTAACTGAAATAAGGAAGTAAATACAAATAAGCTAAACAGAAACACACACACTTTTTTGTTTGGCTTTTATTTTATTTATTTATATTTATCCTTATATTTATCTATTTTATTTATTTATATTTGTCTAAAAATAACTATAAAATAAAACAAATAAATCATATGTAAAAAGTAAAGCTAATTAAAGCTAAATAGAAAATGTAAAAAATCTTAATCTTGAATCTAAATAAAAAGAATTAAATACATTTTAAAAATCATACTCGGCTCAAAAATCAGTCTTTTCACAATTAATTGCAACTTAATACATGCATCAACATTCTGTTTTTATAATGATGTTTTGAATCATATTTATTGCAATATGAATAGCACTTTCTATTTTGTGCCTTATTTTATTGCCACTTCAACATGTTTATCTTTAACATGTCTACACAATAAATGTTAATATTCTAATTTCATGTTCATATCGAAACACACAGACATCATTCAGACAGAATTGAAAATATTCCCGTTTAATAAATAATATTTTTTGCTGATTTTTATGGATAGGGTCAATCATTTTTAAATAAAACAATGACAATAAACACACACAAGTCTTATTTGGAAACAGCATGTGTTTATTTACAGACATAAGCACTGTGATATTCATGCTACCTCGAACAACATGCTGTGAGTTCAAATTAAAACAAAGAAATGGTATCACACGGAGCATTTATTATTAGAAAAAGGGTTAGACCAGCGCTAATGTGCTGCGTATGTTTATCTATTCTGAACACAGATCAGAAGAAGAGATCTTCAGTAGGAAGGTTATTGGGTTATTCCCATTTAATATCATCCATCTGGACTGATTGATCGTCAGGAGGTGAAACTAATGACAGATAATAGGACTGGAGTTATTCTCTTTATTGCTGGACGAGATGATTCACTCTGGAGAAACAGAGACACACCAACATCAGGAAATGATTTTACTGTCAAATACTGTTTCAGCCTTTCTACTTTTCATACGTTTAATTTGTTACTTGCTGCTTCTTTGCTGTTTACTAGTAATATTTTTCAGTGTGCATCAGTGGTTTACATGCTCATATTAGCAGAGTAATCTACAATGGACTGTAAAAGATACACTCACCGAGAAGCTCAGCATCTGTGATTATCCATCAGCGGAGAAATGCATGAAACAAACACAGAGAAAGATATCAATACTACTTTATTATACAAGTTATTTACTTAACAATGAAGGGTTTTTTTCTTGTAAAGGTGCACAAAATCATTTCTAGTTTGTTTTAGTATGGATTTATATTGTATGTGCTTCTGCTGAGCATTTTTCTTGTTTAATTCAATTATTTGAATTAAATTATATTAGCAGATTCTATTACCGAGTGTACCTAAAAGTAAAACTAAGAAAAATAAAAATAAAAACATTTTTGGTAACTTGCTATAGCTTAAAAATTAAACATAAATATTAGATGAAAAACTAAAACTTAAACACCCATTAGAAGTAAAAATAGAAATAAATAAAAAAGTAGCCAGTGTTGTTGTGGTTAGCTAAAAGTGTTAAAAATCATTGTAATCATGTCCTTTTCATGATTTGTTTAATATAAATATTGGATGGAAAATTTACATTTAAAAACTTTAGAAATGCTGCATTGGCAACTAACTGAAATAAATAGTTTAAATACTAAAATTAAAATCAATAAAGTAATAATAAGCTAATGCTAAGTAGAAATATATACAGTAGCCTATATATAAAACAAATACCAAAAATAACAAAAGTACATTAACTAAAATGAAAATATAAGAAAAGAGGCTAATTATAAATATTAATAAATACTATAATAGTATATAAATTTGACTAAAATAACACTGCTAGCAACAATTTGAATGAGTGCAGATTTATATATAGGCGCAAATTACACTGAAGGAGAGATCTGATACTGTATTGTTATTGTCAGCTAAAATAAAACTATTACAAATCATTTTTGGTAATTCAAATAAATCTGAAAAAATAAATAAATAAAATTAAATGATCCTAA